CAAAAAGGTGCGACCCAAAATCAGTGTCATCCGCTGCGTCGTGCGTAACTTGAGCAGTATGCATGGAAGTAGCGCCACTGGTGGAAACGCATACGGGTTCAAGTTATCCCAGGGGATGGCTAGAATGTCACGTTCCCAGGCCAAAGGATCCGGGATTGGGGACACAAATATTGGAAGCTGGCGATGGAAGCGGGTAGCAAACAGATCCACTATCGGGTTAGACATCGGGAGGCACAAAGTCTGGACACCTGCAGATGCAGTTTCCACTCCATCGGGTAAGGTTGAACCGGACGGGACAAAGAATCTGCAATGACATACTTCACCCCTGGGATGTGATTGGCCTGGACCGTGATGTTGAGAGAGTCCACTAAGTGGAAAAACTTTTGTGTCCACTGAAGAAGCTGAGGAGACCCTGTGGATCCCATTCAATTGATGTGCCACACGACTGCAGCATAGTCCGATCGAATTAATAGCTTGGTTGATTGTAACAGGTGTTGCCAATGAGTGATTGCCAGAATCACTGCCCTGAGCTCCAAAACGTTGATGTGACATGCGCTGTCTGCAGGAGACCACAGCCCAGTGAGCTCCCCACCCGTGTAGAGAGGTGTCTATGTACAGGTGATGTATTGGAGCAAACGGCCTTAAAGAGACTTCGCCGCAAACATTCAACACGTCCAAACACCACTGGAGATGGGGATGGAGCACTGGAGAAAGAGATATCAATGCATGAGGGTCGCCAATCCTGATATGCGGACTCAGAAAATATTGGAGAGGCTGTAGTTGAAGCTATCCCCTCAGAGTCACAACAGAGAAAGGACTTGTAACTGACGAAGAATCTTGGGTTGTGAAAGCTCTAGGGGTACCATAGAAATTCCAGCGCAGACATTCAGTTCGTCGAGCCACCACTGAAGGACTGGACGAAGTGGTTCTGGAAGGCGACTCAATTCCTTCGGGTTCAGTTGACGGCCTCGAGATAAGGGCGTAGAAATCGCTGTATCGGCCGATGTAGGAGATGGCCTCTGTATGTTGGCTTGAGCTGATATCAGAAGACCTAGAAACTACTGCCACTGAAGAAGCGATCTCTCCTGAGATAGGATACGTTCGATTAGCCAAACTACCATGACAGTACTGAAGGAAGTGCTGAATGTAGGAGGTTCGTGGCATGGAGACGGTCAGTCAATCTACAGGTACGTTCACATTGTACACATAGTGATGCAGGCCGTATAACCAGTGATCGCAGGAACGTATGGTTCGCCAAATGAAGTGTTGGTCCGCCAGATGGAGTGAAAAGTTAGTAGATGTGAGGCATGGGATCGTCAATCTACCGGAACATTCGTAAAGTTGATGGAATGGCTGAGGTAAAAAGAACAGTGACCCCAGGAACGTTCGTAAAGGAAACGAAGGCAGTAAAATCGATGCTTGCGGACAGTCCGGACATAGCTGCAGTGACCTCTGAACTGAGGGCTTACCCTAGCCAAGTGAAAGCGTTCTTGGGCGATTCTGTCTGACACCCTCGGTAAACTGTTCCTCTCGGATGACTGACGAAACTCGACATTATCATTCTTACCGGGAATGGCACCATTCATCATCACTGGCAATTAAAGGCTGGGATAGGTATCCACTTCGTGGGACCAAGACAAGTCTGTCAGGGCACTTCATACTCACTGTATCATCAAAAGTCTCCGGTAAACAAACAGTAGTCCGCCATTGCAAATGCCACCCACAATAGTGACAAAAACCGGACAACACAGTCATCAATTAACCAGGCGAGTCCCAACCCATAGAATCTGGGTAAAGTGACGCTAGCTACTTGACCAAACATCACTGCTGATACCACACGCAAAAACTGTGCATAAATAGACCAGCTTGATATTCAGGAATATTGTGCAACGCTTCACTGAGTCTTGTTACTGTATACAGACTACTTGTAGCAGCTTTGTGGTGTATTGCTGGGTGTAATCATGGTCTGTTTCGTCAACCTAAGCACCCTTCCATTCACATCATCGTCAAGTTTCTCGACAAATATGTCAAACCGGGTGGTTGTAGAGCTGATATCTACGTCGAAGGGTAGATTCGTTGAATCGAATCATTCATCAAAGGTGAAGATCGGATGGTAGATGACAGAGGAATCTTAAAAATCTGGGATCATCAATCACCGTCACTACTGACATAACTACTACCTCTGTACAACCAGCCGAAACGATGCACTAGTAGATAACCAGGAAGTGAATGAAAGCGGCGCATTGGGACAAAGCGTTAGTGTGTAGAGATGAGCTAATCAAAACCCAAGGTGCGCTCTGCAGCGCCTAACTGAATGAAAGCGATGCACTGGAGTGAACGCTCTGTCTGTTCATAGACACTGTAGAAGCAGGAAGTGTAACCCCGAGGCCAAGCTGAGCACCGGTAAAAACTGTAGAAATGAGGTATCAACGCCGAAGTTGGAAGAAGTGTTGAAGTAGAACTGCAGTAGAAAAAAATCACTGTAGGTACCATAGTGTGCGAACTAGTAAACAAGTCATGATGACAGCATGCGCATAGAGGTAACCAGATGATTCGGCGAATGCTGACAGTTCAGCGAACACTGTCGGATTTGCGATCTGGTATGGTGCAGGAACGATTCTGAGATCCAGCGCCGCACTGGATACTGCCGTCATGTCTGATGTCACCACAGGAGGATATGAGAGCGCTGAACTGGAACAAAGCGTCGCATTGGAAGCAAGCGGCGCATAGGTTGAAGCGCCAAACTGACTGCACTCGCTGTATGAGATTGAACGCTTTCACCAAGCGCACCCACCATAGCAGAGGGGGATGGAGCACTCAACCAAAGCAGCGCACTGGAAACAACCACCTGAGGCAAACTAGGAGTTTGTGAAATCGTCACCAAGGTAGAAGGCCGAGACTTGCTTCAGAGGTTGATAGCACTACCACTCGCGGAGGAGATAAAACTTGTCTGGAGATGGGACTTGACGTTTTAGGACGAAAGAAACGGTGGAGATACTCGCTCAAGTAGGAGTCTGAGACCACCTTTAAAGAAAGAATCTTCGTCCGGGGACAGTGATTTAGATCGACGAACTGCTCTCTTCGAACGGCGTTCCAATTTAACACGGTTAGAAGTTGAAGTGTGGATCAGCAGTTGTACGCCGATCTCTGTCCGATCTACATCTAGATGCAACCTATTGATATTCAGAAAAATCATCATCATTTACCGGTAAGTGTGAAGAAACAGAACACTGATGTGACCAACTACAACAGCCTATACAATCCACACGCTTTGTGTGTGGATCAGCAGCAGAAAAGTTGCTGTTGCATTGATCACAATATTTGCGTTTCTTAGAAGAACTTCGATTCGATTACCCACGTTGACAATCAAATAATGTCTAACTGAGAGAACAACACACATCCACTCAGTGTAGCGACAAGAAAGAGAATGACAGGCACAGAGCATCACGTGATCATCTGAGCAACCGGCACGCTTATGACAGGTCCTGCTATTGGTGTGGGGGCAGAGGTCAGGGGGGTGAGGCCAGAAAGCTTTGATTCAACTTAGCCTACAGCACATTTCTACACGTTTTAACAATCAAAGTGGCACGTACCGCGGGAAGTCAGCGGTGACTTGTCAAACTGTCTTTGGGTTACCAGCCAGGTAACCCAAAGGGCTTAGCCTATGTTAATTATTATGTAAAATGTTTGTAGAAAACATGCATTATACTTATACGATAGCAATTTTTGATATCTTTTGATAACTGCTTAAGATATAAATTATTCTGATAATGGAATAGAAATTCTTTGATGTTATGTTATCGGATCATTTTTAACTGAATCACCGGTACATTGGACCAAAACATCTGTGCACAGCTTATTTCCGGCTTAGTTGAATAACAGGTAGTATAGATGGAACAACAATTGAATTATCATGTCTAGTGATGTTTGATTTCAAGGTTCCTGTACATACATCTATTTTCATTTACAAAGTGTTTTTTTTCACCTCCAACAATACGATATAGTTTCGACAGGGCACAAAACACGAAATAGCAGTGTTGTTATGTCCATGGCAAATACGATTTTACTTGGCCTTTGTTCCGCGTTATGTAATAGTTACTATAACGCGGGTGTCTAATAACGCGGGGGGGTCATCCATGGACCCCAAGATCCGTGTTATGGCGAGGGATGACTGTACTGCCGTTCCTTGAGCTTGAGAGATCCTCACGAGAGCCATTGAACGTGACTGGGAAGGCAAAGTATGAAACAGCACCACTCAAGTGGGAGAATCAGCATGTCTAGCAACTGGACTAAAGGTATGAGGACGGAATAAACATAATAGATTTTCCAAAAGATAAGAATCCGACAGATTGTCTAAAAAATCCTCCTGCGGGGACGGTGAAGAACAGAGCAGACATAAAAGGACGATCCCACTTAGATTGTTTAGAAGCTGAGGGACCCTCAGAAGGTCTCCTACGATCCCTGTCTGCCACCTGCCTGCTACCAACCTTGCGATAAGCAGTAAAAGCATCATCATCTAAGGTAGAACAGTACGAGCAACAACGAGACCAATTGCACCAACCGATGCAATCCATGCATAATGTATGGGGAGCTGCAGCAGAAAAGTTCTTTCTACACCTGTCACAATATTTCCTCTTCCTAGTAGAATGACTATTTTTTCCCATAATGAGAAACAAAGAAGTGGCAGACATGGCCTATACACACGTCCACACCTGTCGGCGACAAGTAAGAGAATTACAGTAGTGTGATGTCATGTGACCGTCCTGAGCACTTAGCAAGCTTTACAGGGATGACTGATGTGTCCAGGAATGGGAGCAGTGGGAGCAATCGGGTGGGAGTGAGGCCAGACGATTTAATCAACTTTGCCTACAGCATGTTTCCACGCCATGGTCGAAGTAAGGAAGAGAAGTGCATACCGTGAGACAGGATAAGTTTAAAAATTAAGAAACTTGTCACCCATATAATCGGTGATATATTGTTTAGTTTTTAACATTTCTTACCTCTCTCTTTATTCTGATGATATCAAGCATCCCGGAGTAACGCAGCTGGGTCAGTACGTCATCATCAACAAATTCATTTGCCTTTTTCATAGCATTTGGTTTCAAGCAGCGCACATACCTGCAATATGACAGATGTAATTATAAAGACATGCATGACAAAATTATATCCCCTACCAGTTAAACTGGGAAGAGTCTCGAGTTCCTGCACAAAAAGTACCTTCATGAATTTGTTTTAAAGAGTCAATGGCTTTAAAAGCCTTTTTCTTATCCTCCAAACATGCACTACACTGCAAGATATGCCGATTTGGGATTAAACTTTCTCAGTAAGGTACAGATTCAAGAACTGTTGAGTGGAGTCCCTCAAGCACCTAACTACCAGCACATAAATTTAGGAATGTAACTCACTCAGCCACCATTGCTTTTCACAAAATTGGGGGGGCGGTTGGATAGCTTAGTGGTTAAAGTGTTCGCTCGTCAAGCTGAAGGCCTGAGTTCGATTCCCACATGGATACAATGTGTGAAGCCCATTTCTGGTGTCTCCGGCCGTGATATTGCTGGAATATTGCTAAAAGCAGCGTAAAACCCAACCCAATCACTCACTCCACAAAAATAGAGGTCTAAAAACTGGAAGTCAGGTACTTTGGTTGACATAGGTTGCTTTGACGAGTGTAAATGGCATTGTGCATTCATAGCCTTCAGACATGGGAACCATGAAAATCAGTCCTGGCAAGACTACAGAGATAAGCTAAGACAAACAAAGGAAATGACATTGTATTGGACTCTCACCTATTCATTCATCAACTGAGAAGATGACAAACAAGGAAAATAATAATAATCTTAGGGACCATTCATAATTTATGGCTAGGGGGGGTGATGATGATTTTTATGGAGAAGCATGTACAATGTGAATGACCCCCCCTAAAATTTATGTACAAAGTGAGTGACCCCCCTGCATGTCATGTACAAAGTCAATGACCCCCAACCCCACTCCCCTTTCCATATTTTTAAAGCATAATTTTAAAATATTTTTATGTACAAAATTGATGACCCCCTACCTCCCCAGAACAAAATGGGTGACAACCCCCTAAATCATCATCACCCCCACACCCCACCCCAGCCATAAATTATGAACGGTCCCTTAATAAAAATAGATGAATGCATGAACCATATTCTACTCACCAGGGATTAGTGAGAGCTAAGACATCAACAAGGGCAGATAACTGATGCTTGAAGGTATCGCCAACCGTTGGTTTATTACGAGCAGTGCGGGATATTGTTTGTCTTCCATCAAGAATTTCTAATCTCACTCCAAGAAGGTCCTGTCAAACAAAATCTCATCCTTTTGTTGTAGCCTCAAAATCAGAAAAAAATGGAAGATGCTTCCGTAAAATATAAATATAGAATTTTGATCTCTACCTACTCAGATGACAGCTCACATATACTGGTGGATGTCCATCTTTGTCCCATGACATTTAAGAAAATAAAGTTTTTTTCTACCACTACATGTAATATGGAAAGTATAGTTTTACCTTGAACTATTGTAGTTAAAACATGGGAACACTGGCGTCTGAGTGCTTACAATGTTATAACTGAAATAAACTGCTTATTTGACTCTGGTGACAAGATGAAAATGTAGATATTGCTTTGTATCAGTAGGTTAATAGTACATATATATGTATATATATATTTTTAGGTCACCTCACCACATTGTTTTACCAGTGCCCAAAAAGTGAATTTCAGGGCAATTGGAGTCAATGTTGGTTCAAATAATTGAGAATGTCACAAAAGAGATTTATTTTCTTGTCTTCAAAGGGCCACAGCATAAAATGATTGACAAGGAACCATCACCAGTGTGTTCATAAGTATATCAGCGTCAATAGCTTTTTACTAGTCTATGAGCAGTTGAGAGAAAATGTATTAAACATGAATGTCAAAACACATTTTGTACAAATGGAGAGTACATCTACTTGTATTCAATTATATATTCTACCTGAAATCTGGTGAGGTCCTTCACAAATTCACTGTTTGAGTTATGCATAAGTTCAAACAGTTGGTCTTGCTGAGTGTCTTTGTTTTTGTCAAGAAAACCTGTGGCATTATAGATGACGATACCAGCATAATGCCTGATCCCAAATTCCTGTTCCCAAACCCGCCTGTCTTGACCCTTCATGTAGTGTTCATGGTCATCGAGCTCCTGATGTTGCTTGTTGAGATAGGTCTTGTCAGTGCCCTGTATTCATTGAAAACACACAATGTTCTGAAACAAGCAGTATCCCTTACAACAATACAGTAGCTCCACAAAGGGACTTTCACATAGAACAGCAAGAGAAACTGTAATTCCAAATATAACATTTGTTAGTTATATTTGACATGAGTTTTGGCATATATTTAAAGTATGGCCTATACATTTCAAATATTTTCAATTTTAGTACAAGAATAAAACTTACATTGACATTTAAGCATCATGTGCTTTTAATGTGTACTTTATAAAGTTTCAATTTGTGTCACATAGGCCATGTTAGTTGGCCAGTGTACAATATTCTACTCTGTTGTATTTTCATGACTGTGCACTGTGAGACATTTAAATGAACAAGTTTCTTCTCTTAATGGCCAAAGGTATGGCTGCGTATGGTTACCACTTGCTTGATAACGGTGTCAGTAGCTACACCGAAACGTCGCTCATATTATATTAAACAAGTTGTATATCCATAGAACTCTCCTTGTTGCCCATGGTATGGTTGTGTAAAACTGTCCACAGATAAAAGAGCATGTCTTGTAATTACAAGCAAAACACAGTTCACCCATGTGTAACGAAAGTCATGGTGAATACATAACAGGGCTCATGACGCTTCAAGGGATTGTGCTAAGTTGTGCAACAACTGGGACATTTACAATCTTTGTTGGTGACAATCTATCTCACCTGCTATTCATTAAAAAAGTGCTTAACACAACATAAGCAAACGAAGTAAAATTTACAAGAAGACAAAGTCATCAATATCCCCCGCAATGGCAAAATACTCTTCATGATTATGTCTTCGAGTTATGATTATGTCAAATATTTAGGTGTGTATATAGAAAAGTGGAAGGAGAGTATTGAAAGGTTTTTAAAGTTCTGCTCCGGAAAAGAGCACTACCACCAATTTCAGGCTAAGTCAAACTTGTTGCCACGGAAAAGCCAAAAATAGTTTATTCAGAATTCCAAAACTACCAAAAGGCGCCAGTATACCACCAGATCTATGTATGTGCCAAGTTTGGTGAAGAAATAGTGAACTGTTTTAGAGTTCTGCTCCGGAAAAGAGCACTACCACCAATTTCAGGCTAAGTCAAACTTGTTGCCATGGAAAAGCCGAAAAATAGTTTATTCAGAATTCCAAAACTACCAAAAGGCACCAGTACACCACCAGATCTATCTATGTGCCAAGTTTGGTGAAGAAATAGTGAACGGTTTTAGAGTTCTGCTCCGGAAAAGAGCACTACCACCAATTTCAGTCTAAGTCGAACTTGTTGCCACGGAAATGCCAAAAATATTTTATTCAGAATTCCAAAACTACCAAAAGGCACCAGTACACCACCAGACCAATCTATGTGCCAAGTTTGGTAAAGAAATAGTGAATGGTTTTCGAGTTCAGCTCCGGAAAAGAGCACTACCACTAATTTCATTCTAAGTTGAACTTGTTGCCATGGAAATGCCAAAAATGTTTTATTCAGAATTCCAAACTACCAAAAGACACCAGTACTCCACCAGATCTATCTATGTGCCAAGTTTGGTTAAGAAATATTGAACGGTTTTAGAGTTTTGCTCCGGAAAAGACAAATGTGCACGGACGGACAGACGGTAGGATGGATGCGCGGACGGAGTCCATTTTAATACCCCCCGCAAAACGCGTTGCGGGGATAATGAAGGGAAAAACATTCTTATTCGAGTGAAATGCTGTCACAAAATACTATACAAAAGGGTTGTATTTGCATCCATGCATGATATTTTCACAACCACATCTGACTGCAGATAAGCTAATCTCATAGCTTAATAGCTGATCCTTGAAATGGTATGTCCAGTACAGGCAATCAGACAATCAACCCACCAACATCTTCTCATCAGGATCCTTCCATGCACAAAAAATATCTAGAAATCCTTCAGGGTCTTGAGAGGCATTTATAAGTTGGTGTTCAAGTAAAACACAATATTATGGATGACAACTTCTTCTTTATGGTATATCACAACGTTTCTGGGCTATTCCTTGCCCCTTCATCAGGTGAATTGTAACCAGCGAGATACATCAATGAGTATATATACTAAATGTACAAGAAGCCAGTGTTGTATGGCTTGACTCATGTCAGGAGTCCATTTTATCAATGTTCTTCAAAATTACACGCAATAATGGCTATATTGATAAACAGTGGTATTGAAACAAGCAGTAGGTATACATACTTACTATATCTTATCATATTTGCATTAAAGATTTGCATTGGTTCAATTTTATTATTTTATTTTCTCCATCACACGCATTTCCATTTTCCATCTAGTTTCGTAACCATTCACATACATGTTCTTGTTAACTGGACTTTCACCCGACCTACGTTCCACATTAGCAATAACGCGGAGGGTCGTCCATGGACACCAAGACCCACTTTATTGGGAAGGATGACTGTATTATTTTTTTTCTGATCACTGCATAAAAATTCTTTCTGTAATATTAATGCATACGGTTTAAAGGTCACATGCAACCCAAAAAACAAACATACTTAAAACACAATTATCACTTACTCATGACATATAATATACATCGCTGATTATGAAAAAATAAATAAACAAATTTATAAGCGTACAATCGCAAATCAAAAGTGCAATATTTTGTACTTGGGTTTACTTCCTTTGAAACGAAGCACCCGTGAGACCGAACCCAGTCAGACAGTTGGGTGTGCACTCAAGTGTAACGATGACTTTCATTGGCTGGTTCATTTTGCCAATACGCTAAGGGCTCATTGTGTGTGTATATAGAGATGTTGGGTTTTGTAAATACATGCTCATTTTTTCTGCATTTGCATTAGATCCAATCAACAAATACTGAGATGGTGAACTACTGCGTTGCTGGAAACGTCGTTCGTCCAAGTACAAAGCAGGACTTGAAACTGACAATCTGAGTGTGCACCAGTTTCCGTCCGATCCAGTCATCCGAGAAAAATGGATGCAGTTTGTTTGCAACCCACAGACATAATAACATGTCATATGTACAGATATCACACCTGCCTGTCTGTGTAATTACATAATGTGACAGAGACAGAACTCAGGCGCACTAGCCATAAATCAATGTATTTTGTTTATGGTGTATAGCCTGATAGGTGCTAAGTTCAAATTGCATGTGGTCAGTGATCGAAGTTGTGTATTGCATATTGTATTTAGCAGAGAGGCAGGCAGACACATTGAGTTTTGTCTGTGACAGAGACTGCTTATCACAATCAACATATTTTTCTGTACATGTATTAAAACATTTCAGTTTTCAAGCTGAGCAATTTTTAACAATGAAATTTGTATTTCTAAAGCTACACTTTCTTGAAAACTTAGTTTGCAAATCTGCCAATCCCCCAAAAGCAAGATGTGAAAACATAAGAAAAAGTATGGGACCAGTGTATTTTTATTACTGCAGACCCAAGATGCTTGTAACCGCAAGAAACATCTTTTGTTCTCCAACTTCGATCAGAGCGATAATCCTTGCACGCATCACTTGCTGTGTTTTTACGAGTCGCCTTCCCGGTTCAAGCTGCGTGAACCTAATCACTGCGCATGAATGGGAAGATACTGGAGTTATCTCTCATTGTAGTGGATGGTACAGGTCCAGCACTACTGGGTCGAGACTGGCTACAGCATATGATGTCATGGTAACACATGTTCACGAACAGTATTGCTAATTCCTCGCAGAAGGAAGATGTCACCGAGATATTGAATGAATATCAGGAAGTCTTTGATGAAGGACTTGGACATTTGAAGGACTTTAAAGTCAGATTGTCAGTACAAGACAATGCTGTTCCGGTATTCTGTAAGGTCAGGAATGTACCTTTAGCTCTACGCCAGAAGGTACATGCAGAAATTGATAGGATGGAGTCCGAAGACATCATAAGGAAGGTTAGGTTCTCACAGTTGGCTACTCCTGTGGTTTCAGTGGTTAAACCATCAGGTGAGGTTCGTCTCTGTGGAGATTATAAATCAACTGTGAATCTGTTTTCGAAAACGGACATTCACCCGATTCCTAAAGTGGATGAACTGTTGGCAAATCTGAGTGGTGGTGAAGAATTTACGAAGCTAGATCTTCGTCATGCGTACCTACAGTTGGAACTTGACGAACCATCAAAAGAGCTGACAACCATAAATACAACAAAGGGTTTGTATCAATTCAACAGATTGCCATATGGTGTAAGTGCAGCACCTGCAGTGCTCCAACTAACAATAGAGATGGTGTTAAAAGGATTGATAGGACTTGTAATTTTCATGGATGACATATGCATAACAGGCAGAAACCGACTGAACACAAGAGGAACTTGAAAGCAGTTCTCAAAGCTCTCAGGAGTGCAGGACTTAAACTTCGATTGGACAAGTGCAAGTTTTTCTTCAGCAAGGTTGAATTCCTTGGCTTCACGGTTGATAAGGATGGTATTCACCCTACACCTAGCAAGGTTTCTGCGATCAAAGATGCTCCAGCACCTAAAGAGGTGAATGAGCTGCGTTCCTATTTAGGAATGTTAAATCACTATTCCAAGTTCTTGCCGAACATGGCTACTAAGTGTGCACCATTGTATGATCTGTTGAAGAAGACTGCCACATGGAAATGGACGCAGGTTGAGCAGCAAGCATTTGAAGATTCCAAGTCTGATCTCACAAGTGATAGTCTTCTCACACACTATGACAGTGACAAGGAGATAGTTGTATCATGTGATGCATCTCCTTATGGCATAGGATGTGTACTTCAGCACCGAACGGAGGAAGGGGAAAAACCTATCGCTTTTGCATCACGCAAGCTCAATTCCGCAGAGAAAAACTATTCTCAACTGGAAAAAGAGGCATTGGCCCTTATCTTCGTGGTCACTAAGTTCCGACAATACCTTCTTGGAAGACAATTCACTCTGATTACGGATCATAAGCCATTGATTCACCTGTTCTCTCCATCCAAAGAAACTCCTGTGATGGCTGCATCTCGGATCAAGAGATGGTCTCTGAAACTTGCTAAATTCCAGTACAATATTGAATATAGGACTTCAAAACAAAATGCCAATGCAGATCTGCTTTCACAATTGCCTTTGCCATTGATGGAAGATTCCACGGAATCTGACACAGAACTAGTTCTACACCTATCACAAGTTGATGAGGATTTGCCCATAACTGCACAAGCCGTTGCCAGGGCAACAGATAATGACAAGTCGCTTCGTCAAGTACGACAACTCACACTTTAAGGTTGGCCTGAGGAGCCTGATCATGTATCACAAGAATTAAAGCCATTCTATCAACGTCGATTGGAGCTGACAGTTGAACAAGGTGTTGTGATGTGGGGAACAAGAGTGTTGATTCCTACTATTTATAGGGAAGCCCTATTGAATGAGTTACACAACGAACATTCGGGAATGGTTTGTATGAAGTCAGTTGCAAGAGGTATCATCTGGTGGCCCTACTTGGACTGTGATATTGAGAATCTGGTCAGGGGATGTTTAGATTGTCAGGAGGAAGCCAATCATCCAGTATCAGTCGTGCCTACCCCTTGGAAGTGGCCATCATCTCCTTGGACTAGACTGCACATTGACTTTGCAGGTCCTTTCATTGGACACTCATTTCTCGTAATTGTGGACGCTCACTCCAAATGGTTGGAAATATATCAGATGAGGTCTACCACTGCTACGATCACGATCAAGCATCTTCGCCGATTGTTTGCTACATTTGGACTGCCACTCCATATTGTTTCTGACAACGGAACCCAATTCACATGCCAGGAGTTCCAAACATTCTTGCGTTGCAACAAAATACGACACACCACAACTGCACCTGCCCATCCGGCTACCATCCGGACCAAGATATTTCCCGAGGAAGGTCAGAGAGCATGTTATCTAGCAACCAGCCAAAGCAGGCAGAGAGCAACCTAGCACCACCTTTAACAGTTGTTCAGGGAAAGAGTTTGACTGCACCATGTGGGAAGCCAGCTGCGACACCAGCTGCTGTTGAAGAACCCCGTCGCAACCCTCCCAGAGATCGGAGAAGACCAGCCCGATTCAGTGACTAGTAATAATGCAAGCGTGTATTGAACGCTAAAAGTGTGAATGTGTTCATTCATTGTATTCTGCAAGATATTGTGCCAGTGAACAGCATTAAGTTCAAATATGAGTGCTACAGATTGAACTCTAATTTCTCAAGTGCAGATGCACATTTCTTTTTGATGTCATGGACATTACATTATTTGAGAAGGTGACCGAGGACTTATTGGTCTTAAGAGGGAAAATTTTAGTTTTTGGTTTTTGTACCTCTCGGAGGAAATAGTAAAAAAAATAAATAGAGGGGGTGATGTAGGATATTGGTCTGTAATGGTTGTTCCCGGCTGTTAAGTTAGTTCTGTCCGGATGTTAATCACGGAAGTAGGAGAGCAGAAGCGGTGCGTTTTTGTCTGTTGTGAGATGGCGACCAGTAAACGATGTCAACCGATCTTGTCTCTTGTTATCGCTGAGTAGTTCAGGATCGAAGGGTCTACGGATAAGTACACAACAGGTCCGAACATAATGTGGATTCCCCCTTGCTGATGGTTGTTCTCTTTTGTTTCCTGGTATTTATTCTCAAAAGACAAATATGCTAGGCCTGTTGCACATGCCTGTTCTCTCAATCATGAAAGTGAAATTTCTCTTCAGATAATCATTGCGAAGTCCTTGGTGAAAAGCAACTGTCTTGTCAAGATACCACTTTAGAGCTATTACTGGCCATAAAAGCATGTCTGAGAAGTGTAGGCCACTGAGGAAGAAGATGAAACAGTAGGTCTATGAGAGAGGCAGTATGTCTGGGAACCATGATCATGTCGGCCAGGCTGGTGCCACCAGGAACATTGTCATGTGATGGTTCCTGATCTTGGAAATATCTTGGTGGAAACTCATATCGTGGTGGAAACTCATAGGCAATCATTCCTTCCCAAGATGTTGAAATGGCATTAACTGCATAAGCTTGAGGATCTTGGACCAGAGTTTCGTTGGTTGGCAACTGGTTGTTGCGATGTTGAGACCAATTCAATGTGATGTTGTTCCCATTTGATCATTATCTGCCTGAAGGTGACTGTATGAAGCATCCAGTCTGTTGTCAAAATCTGAATGGGAAACTTTGCACAGATGTGTGCATTCCCAACAGCGACATCTATTGCCTCAGTGTGTTGAGATTCTTGGCACTCGGATATTCTAGTTAAGCATTCAAACGGTGGATAGATAATATATGAAGGTCTACTTCTGTACTTTCTTGTGTCACAGCTCAAGATTTTTCTGGATGCACCAGAAACCCCAATTTTCCAAAGAAATCCTTCAGATAAAGTAAGTCATCTAAAGCCTTGTCTACATCAACGTTTTGGAGACTGGAATTCATCGAGTTATCTGTGGATTCTGACACACTGTAGATAATAATATGCCAGAACTGGAGTTGTTATCATAAAAACCCACAGAGCTATTGAATTCCAATTCTTAGGACATTGATCCTGGCTACTAACGGAAAACTGATTCTTGGCTACAAATTCAGGAAACCTACCAACATGGGAAGTTATCATTTATTAAACCACTAGGGAATGTTATGTCCATTGTTCTTGGAAGTGTTTTATTAGCATAACTGAATAACTGCCCTAGGGCAATTATTTCTATTTAAAAGCTATAAAATTGTACTTATTTTGATAATCTTCATCATGCCTAATACATTTCAATCATATTAAATAAGTATGCCCTCGTGGTGTAAGCTGTTTAATCACCCCGACTAAGGTAGTTATTCAAATAATCTCTGTGAGGGCTTTATTTAAATAACTACCTTGTAAGGGTGATTAACCTATACTTAACATGTCGAGATTAAACTTATTTTTCATCTGCAATACTCCATAAACGAGCAATACAATGTTTATGCCGCCATATTGAATGCATTAGCTCTCAGATATGTTGTTGCATACTATTTATCAGCCAATGAAACAATTTGTTATATATTTAGCTTATACATGGTCGTCAAGCATGGTAGAAAGCAGGTCGGCCAAACAGCAGATGCGATTAACATGTTTTTGGGGAAATGGGGGTTCAACCTTTCAAGGTTGATAATTACATATGTTAAATGGCAGTGAATTTATTATGTTTTCTCTTGAAATTTCCATCTACTGAAAATTTCAGGACCTTCTAAATTCCTGGTGTCCCTTAAAATCATACATGTAGGGGCCCTTGGGCCCATATTTCCCAATATGCAGTTGAGTGTTTTTCAGATCCATGCTCAAGTTCACAAGTGATTCCATGGTCAAACTGTAGAAAGTACCCCGGACTTATGACTGAAAGAATCCAAGGGTCGTCTGTTACCTGGTACCAATTGCTGACAAACTGTTTTATTCTGCACCCCACAGGTGAGGAGACGACTGGTTGCTTGAAATCAAAATCCATTCTCTTGTCTCTTTGGCATGTCTGAGTCATACGGATGAGAGAAAAGAGACACATGATCTGAGGAGTCAGCACCTCCTAGCGATAGGAGCCTCTGATGTTTGAACCTCCTGGGAAGTGACGGGCTGCTAACACTGCCAGTTAGAAGATAGAAGGTATCCTGGGATTGTTGAGACAATTCTTCCTTGGATTATAAAAAGCTTGACTCCTGAGAGTTTCTAGTACTTCAGTCCTGCCCCACAACATAGCACATGTGATTCATGTGGTCTTAGGCAAGTAAGTTTGTTCAAGAATTGCCTCTGTTCACATAGCAGACAATGGGTCACTGACTGTTAAGGCAGCTTTGGTTATCCAGGGTAGTTATGTGTTAGCTCTTTGAGCATGCACAAGTGTGTGGAAACAGGCGCTTTATAAAGGGCCATTATTATTATTTAAAAGGTGAGATTGTTCTATAGCTGTCAAACGGCTTAACACATTCACATGAGCCTGAGTAGCGTCGGAAACAGTCTGGTAAACGACATCCAAAAAAGTAGTGTGCAAGCGCTACCACGTGGGCTGATGGTATCTTGCTTGATTCCCTTACACAGCTTAACCTGGTGATAGAGTTCCATTTTTTTCCAGATAAGATCAGCCTGGTGTATAATCCTGGGAATTCACATCCATAGATAGTACAGTAATAAACCCCCCTTGCATTTACAACTAGCTTGGTGTCAGTTATGGGGTAAACTCTTTCGCTATCTAAGTCGGTATTTCCGGATCCGGGAAGATGAAAACCTGGAACCTGGGAAATGTTGAAAAAACTTAACAGAGAACAAGTGAGTGAGTGAGTATGGTTTTACACCGCTTTTAGCAATATTCCAGCAATATCACGGCGGGGGGGGACACCAGAAATGGGATTCACACATTGTGCCCATGTCGGGATTCGAACCCGGATCTTCGGCGTGACGAGCGAACGCTTTAACCACTAGGCTACCCCACCGCCCTCAGAGAACAAGTAAGCACGTGTGATCATGTGTCCACCAGATAGTCAGGGGAGACAACTCCTTCAGATAACGCTTGGGAAGACCGCAAGGAGGAAGGACAACACAACTCAATGGATGTTTAATTTTTTTATTCAGTTAAATCTGTGGATCATATAGCACTCTATAAGCTTGCTTTTACTAACTACTTTAGTAATTACCTGAGCTATTTGTGGTTCCGATGTCCCCACCTGGGCACATCCAATTATGTGCCACTTGTTATTGAATTACATGCTGTTGTTAAGTGTTAATCTGCTGTTGTCATAACAAACTATGTATATATACTTTTTATCACTTGGTTGTAGTCAGTTTTAGTTTGATACCAGTGTAAGAATCTTCGCAGCAACGTTCCTCTATGCAATAAACAATAAGCTGTCATACATGAAGTTGTATGCTTCATTATTGACTCACCAACTTCTAGAATGCCAACGAAACAATATAGATACTTAGTTAAACCTTCAAAAAGAGGTATCCAGATAATCAGGGTTCCAATGCATGATTACCAGTGTCCGTTCAAATTAAATAATTTCACACATTACCTTTGGAAACCTGCATTCTTCATCCAAAATCTTCATTACACATCTTGGTGCCTAAAAGTATAACATACATTTTAAGGGATAATGACACTTAGAAAACACTCCTAAATAAGCAGATATGGAAAATGTGTCAAATCATATCTTGGAACCTGGAAATACAGGTAATCAAATCAAATCAGAAATCATTATTTGGGCAAACCAGTGATTCAAACACATGATGACAGGACTCCAGCATAACAAGAAACTGTTGTGATGCCAACGACTAGTGGACACCTTTCATGGTTAGTATTAGCACAAGTGTAAGTTTGTTTGACACCGCTCACAGAAATATTCCAACTATATGGCATCTGTCTGTAAATAATCGAGTCTGGAACAGACAATCCAGTGATCAACATCATGAGCATCTACCTACACAATTGGGACACGGTGACATGCGTCAACCAAGTCAGCAAGCCTGACCACCTGATCCCATTGGTCGCCTCATATGACAAGCATGGATTGCTGAAGACCAATTCTAGCTCGGATCATCACAGGAACACAAGAGAATGTCTTTTTCCTGTATTTGACTTAAGTCATTTCTTTCAATATGTCTTGTTTTAGCAAAACAGCATCAGGGTTATACATGTTGATTTGTGTTGAAGCAATAGCATGTCCAAAAATTTGAAGTCATTGAGTAGTAAGGCTGATTCTTACATCTGTTATCAGAGAAAAACTCATGAGGCCTTCTGGACTACGATTATTTCAACATAGTGGTCAATGATTCTCTTGGAAAAAGAAGTTTCTTTAGAACACTTGTCTTACTACAAGTTTAAAGAGTTTGTTGTTGCATACATTTAAACCGGTTGTGACAGAAGGGAGTAACAGGTTTGGAATTTCAATCTCTTGTTATTTTGAATAGATGTCAGCTGGTCAAGGTGTTTATAGACAATAACAATTGAAATCCAATCACAGACTCAAGTAAGCATGTATGGTTATTTTGGTACAATTTGAGTACATTGAAACTTAATTCGTATAGGAAATATTCACATCCATATCCTGCCACTTTGAAAGAAAATTACTAAAGTCATGTTACTGTAATGTTGCTCTGGAGAAAAAGAAGAGCATGATGACTTGTGTTAATGCCTGACTGAGTTTGGTTTTACGCCGATTTTAGCAATATTCCAGCAACATCACGGTGGCTTGTGTTAATGATAGAAGCATTGATAAGTATGTTGATTTTAAACAGAATACAATTCTTAAGGAATAAAGGAATTCATAAGAATTCAGGGTTGAGATTGTGAAGTTACTTGCTAATCAAACAAATGTCTGTTTCTTGTTTAATACCACACTCATATCAGCAATATTCCATCTATTTGGTATAAATGCATTTATCTCAAGACTCAAGTCCGGATAGGCAAACCAGGTTTATGGGCTTATTGGAATGCCTCTCCTGATCATATGGTTAACATGTTACATGCTGTGGGAGTCAAGGAATACAAAGATATAGTCAGTGTTGGCAGGAAGCAATAGTACTAAATGTTGACGGAGTGAAGATCATATCCCTTCAGATAATACATGTTCTGTCCGATATTGTCATATAGGGGGCAATTATAAAAGTAGTTGACAGAATTTTCAAACTGATGGCTACAGAGACACAGTGATGTAAAAATGTCAAGTAAACTTCTTCCAATTTATATTACCTGAGGTGAGCATGCTTGACTTTAAAAATATGTATTCCATATCAAATAGGAGATACTTTGTTAGACTTTTGAGTTCATAGTTTTTTAAAGCCTGAAAACATTGAGCAATTTCTAGCTTCTATGAAGTAACAAGTTCCATAGTTTGAAAGTATCAGGATGCAAGGTCTTACAATAAAATGTCTTGCAGTTGATAAGTTGCAAATTATCTCAATTTCTTAGATTATAGGAATATGGTTTCAAGAATAAGTTCTTGTTAGTAATTTGGTGTTAAGTTATGCATAATTAACTTGAAGATATTTCTTCTCTAAGACAGTGATTTAAATTGGTTCATTCTATACCTTTTGATTTGTTCCCCCAGACTGCACCACAGATGGTCCTAAATGTGCAATTTCTCAAGCAATTACTTTGCTCAATAGTGCAATTATTCCAAGATTGAGCACAATATTCAAAGTTTGGAATAATAAATGATTTGAAAATTGATTTGAGCATTATCCTAGATATATGATATTTGAAACTACGAAGACAGTTGATTCCTCAATTGACCTTACTTATTACTTACTTGTGCCGGCCTTTGCTGCAGTAGTCGCGGATGTCTAGCTAGACACGAGCAAGTCGAACTCTTGACCACAGCAATGACAACTCACTTGATGACCATTATGCAATTTTTAGTATTTGAATGACATATTGTTGCTGGTAAATACTTGAAATTCATACTCCAGCAACATTATATCTCTTGAGAGCAGAGGTTAGCAAGTGCAGATATCCTTGGTGGTGTTGTAGCTGGCTTGCTCTCAAGTTGATAAACCACTTCCAACAGATGGTTGTTCTTCAACACTTCAGTAGAACACCGAGTGTGGTCAGTCTTTGAATGTTGCTTTAAGATTTAAACAAGTCAATTCAAAATCAACATTGTCTTTTTTTGTAAATTAAATAAGAGTAATGGATCCTGCAACTCTTTAGGAGAGACACCATCCGCATTGTTGGGGCATGGACAGATGCTGTCCAAACAGGGGTTCAAACAGACGAGGTCCCTGGACAGGGGAGTTTGACAATTTTCTGAGAAAGTGGGAAGAAAAGATCATCTCGGTTTTCTAAAAATATACCTCAATGATTGATGCTAAAGAACAGTTGCTGTGGAGCGCCATTGTTTAGGCCAATGCCCTTGTTGCATGAGGGTTGGTAGCAGTTGGAAGAACTAAACCAGTAAAGGTGAATGCCTTTGGGATCCCCAAACACATCCAGAAGGCAATAGAGATACTACCTCTGTGGAGGCTGCAGTTCCGGATGCTTACATAGTCTACTGAGGTATGCAAGGCAGCAAAAGGGCCCGTAAGTAGGTCACTGCACTGCGCAAGACCTGAGTATGTCCGGAGACAAACAACGTTTCATACCTTTTCGAAAGGTCTCTTGGTTGTCATTTGACAGTAAAGAACCGATAATCCTTGCAGGAATAACAAATTTCCAACATAACCATCCCCAACTTAGCCAACTATTATCACTGTCAACAGCTGTGACAGCCAAGCATGGTTGTACACTTGGTCTGTTCTAGTGAAGTCATATTTGGCAGTCACGCAATTTGGAACCAGAACTGGTTCTTGAATATACGCTTGTCACTGGAAATCTGGTACCAGAAGTAAGCTGGGCCCCATCTCATATATCGCAAGTTGGCGCACGGAAAGGGAGCCGGGAACCAGCTTATTACTGGAAGTAGCACCTCGCAAGACTTGCAGGCCCTAAATAAATCTTCAATGTTCTGATTGGACAGAAGCAAAGATGTTCTAGATAATCAGGCCAAGTGTAATGAACATTCTATTAAGTTGTCCTTGCAACTGGTTCATTGTGATGAGACCCCATATAAAATCCCATTAATTGTGATGCACTTAAAGTGCATGTCACCAAGCAGATTATTGTCAGCCAATTTCAAATGTCTCAGGACCTCAGAAAAGTCCCATGCAAGTGTAGCGGCCATAAAATTTCCGAGTCCCGTGCTAGGATTGAACCACGGACCTTCTGATCTGGCTGACAAGGTAAGGATGCCATCTGTGGGATGACTCCACGCCCTCCTTCACAAGCAGATGAAACTTCTTAGATTGGTTAGCCAGTCTATAAAATAGTAAGAGGGACTGAACTTCTGGAACCCGTCACTTTAGCCACAACTGAGTAAATGGGCAAGGTAAGTTGACAAGGTAGAACCCTTCAATTTCCTCGAAATACGGAGATGCTGAAGGTATTTCAGTGGTAGTTGTTGAGAAACAATGCCTTGCACAATACAGTATGCCTCAAAGCTTTTCCACTTGTGATAATAAAGGGAACAGGCATAGGTGTGATAAGCTGATGTGATCGCCTTGGCGACTCTTCCATGTGATTGATGTACCACGCTACTTTGGCGTTGTCTGACTGAATCAAGAAAATCTAAATCTTGAAGTCTAAATCCTTGATGTAAAGAGATTGGCCATCAAGCCACTTGTAGATTCAGCAGATGCACTCCCCATCCTTGTAGGGATAACTTGTTTAACAACAAACCCATTCGGTTCGAAGTACCGAGTATGTCAGAGGTGCCAATCCCTTGGCAGTCTGCAACCCTCTGTCAGGTCGATGGAGTAAAAATCAAGATCCAACAATTTAAAGGAAGTAGATTAATCCTATGCTGAAGATCTCTTGGAAGGTTGAAATTTATCCCTGATCCATATCACAAAGAGGAAGAATTGCTGCTCTCAGTGTGACCATCAGGTGTAGGGATCCACCTAAAGCATCGATCCTGAGGAGGAGAGAAAGAAACTTCCTTTCATCTTTATTAGTGAGAGGGTCAGCAACGAATTTAAATCCCCCATTGTATAGTAGATACATAATAATAATAATAGGAGCTCAGAACTAAATGCTCGAAACAAGGTCAAAGCCACCAACACTTTTGCAGTTCCAGTCCTTTCCTATTCCTTTGGAGTAGTTGATTGAATAAAACAAGATATCCAGAGTCTGAAGGATCATGTCTGATAACAGAGCCCACCACCCTTGTTCCTCTCTCAACATTTATTTATGCCAATCAATTCTGGAGGTCGGGGTTTGATTATTGTGGAGGCTCTTCTTGATAGAATTTTATTGCGTCCTTATGCACATATTTATTTGTCGGATGATCCTATGGTGATGCATGTCAAAACTCATGATGAAAGTAAGGAATTTTGCAGTTATTTTAACTGCAAGGTCGTTGGACAGAATCTGAAATTTGAGGTTGATGTTGTTGATGGCGATGTACTGCTGGACGGTACAACGATGGGAGTAAACCAGGTGAAGTCCTTCACCAAGTCTGCCAGAGTGTTGGGACAGTCTGTCAGAATAAGCGCTTCTTGCCTCCAGAGTTTCGAACAAAGAAAGGAAGAG